TTTTCCCTGTTTCTTAAAATAATTCTTGAGTATGTGGGAAAAAAATCATATGCTTGAATTCAGTTCCCATCTGATGATAGTTTTAACTTTTTGTCAAGCACCGAAAAAGCTTAGGTTCACATGTGAGCCTACATTAAGTATTTGGGAAAATGCACTGTTTTATGAGAACCGGTTTTTCTTTTTTTCTCAACCTAGTTAATTCATTACTTGTGTGATAGTTCTTTGACTTTTGGGTGAACTTTATGGAGTAGTTGTTAATTTGGAATTTTTCCCATTTTCAACTACTGTACTAGATTTCTTTCTTTAATTTTACCCTGTGTTTGTTGTGACTTTAAGAATAAACACTAACATGATCTGTGAAATATGTTATTGAAAAATTAACAGTGAAAGTAGTTTTCCTTGAAAATCTTATTTCCCATGATATTTGTATAACCTATGAAATATATTGAGAAAATGTGTTAAGGCTGTTTTTAGAGCTGTTTCACAGCACTCACACGTTAACATTACTTAGCTCTATTATTAATAGTATCTGTCATGTACTAAGCAGTTTAAAAAACACATTTTGCATGGTCTAAAAGATTAAAATATGACCACATTTTAGTTGAAAAACATTTACACAAAAATTCTCAGTAAATGGAGTTAAAATATGAAATTTGAATGAAAATACAGATATGTGCCTTTCATTCACATTTTTAATAGTCTGTATAAATAGTGTAAACAAGAATTCTTAAATTTATAAAGCCCTTGGATATATATGCATATGTATTTAGCTATCTAAAACTACTGGGTTCCTGAGTTTGGAATGAGAGATTGGTTATTTTTCTGATAGCAAGGAGTGGTTTGTGAGCCATGCCCTGAGTTTTGGCTAGTAAGAGTCTGGATAGCAAGAGATACATGTGAGTCTGGATAGATTCTAATGCAGTTTTTGGAATCTGTTCGGTTCCTGAGTTTTGGAAAACGAGAATTCAAATAGAGTTCAGGTAGCAAAGGATCCATGTATTATCTCTTTATATTTCTGTGGTTATATCAGTTTACATTTGCTTTAGCATATTATTTGCTGTTGTTTACTGTATCAGAAAAGAGTCTGTAGTAATAAACTTTCTTTTACTTTGAGCAAGGAAATACATTTTAAATTAAGTGTATGTTTCAAATGTGGAAACAAAATATCAAATGTATAAACATTAACTTATTTAAAAATAACTCAGAAAAATAGCTTTTTTACAGTTGGTACTAAGATCCTACGTATTTTGGGTATGGGTCAGACCTTACCTAATTTAGAAAAAACAAATTGTCAGTTTATCTTAATTTAGTGTGTGTGCGTGTAAGGGTACAGGATAGAGAGCTGAGGAATGTTACTTTAACTGATAAATAATGGAAAATAAGTCATGGCCACGATTTCTTATTTGCAGTACTCAAGAGATACTTGTTTAGTTAGTATTTCTTTATTAATAGATTAGTATAATAATTTGGTGTTTAAGTTCTGGAGTCAGACAGTATAGATTCATACCCTAGTTTGCCACTGATTAGATTTATGATACTGAGAAATTTTGAAACTCTGTGTTGTTTCCTTTGTATGCTAGTGGCATGTATCTACTGTACAGATTGTTTTATTGAAAGAGATAGTACATGCAAAGCACTTAACATGGTTCCTGACATTTAGTAAATGATCAATAAATGTTTATTATCATCATCAGTGATTATAATTGTAATGGAATATTTTTATTCGGAACCTACTTTCCTTTAAATACTGTATATTTTCTGAAAAGTTGGGTACAGTTTGATTAATATTTAAATGTATATACTAGAATCTTACTGTCTAAAGGAACATTTTATAACCGGTTGGCAACAAATGTGTGCCTACTGTGGCAGGCCCTGCTTTTATGGAACTTTCCATCTAGGGAGAGATGATGGGCATTAAATAAATAATTTTGATTTTGAGGTGTGATGAATGTTATGAAGTTGTACTCAGTGCTATCAGAGCATGTAATGAGTGACTTGGTCTATGGAGTTTGGGGTGGAGGGGCAGTGGCAATAAGGAAGACTTCATTGAGGAAGTGTGCCTCAGAAACATAGAATGAGTAGGAGATCACTTAGTGAAGTGGAATTGGAGGTTGAGGGGAGTTATGGTCAAAGCAGAAGACACAACATGTGTGAGAGCCCTAAGGCAAAAAAGCTTGGCATCACTGAGGATCTGAGAAATGTTAAGTATGGCTGTTGCAGAGTGTGTGGGTCTAGTTGATGAGACTAGATGAGAGGTCAGGTTTGGCCTGCTTACAAGTTTTTTGTCCTCCTCCTTGTTGTTACAAAAGTTCGAATTAGTTGTCAGCATTCACAGTTCGGGAGATTTCATGTAGAAGTCTGGATTTCTGATTTCTCTTGAAAAATTAGAGGTTATTATCCAATGTATTTTCAGATGGTAATATTCAAGCCACAATCTAGTAGCAGCTGCTCCCTCTAGAGGGGGCATGTGCCACTCAGAGTGCGAAATAAGTAAATATAAATGAATCGATATTTAACCTGGTTGTTGTTGAGTTTGCAAATCTAGTCAGGATTCTAGACAGTTTGTAGTTAGGTATCTTGGTCTTTATCATAAATACTAAGAGAAGTTATTGAAGGATTGTAATAAAAGCAAGAGAATGACATGATCACTTTAAACTAAAAAAAATTAATTACTTTGGTTGCAGTGATTA